TCTATTATATTTGGTTTAATCCAAAAATAAAACTACCATACATACGAGCACAACACATGTGAAACAACGCATAATTGTGGATTATTGAACAAAACAAACTTTCATTTTTTTTCGTACCGCATATTCAACCAACTCAGACTACTAGATTTATGAGATATGCAATTTTTTCTCACAAAACTAACATACAGACAATATGGATAATATTGATGGGCCCATATGTGAGTGTGTGTGTATAGGCCTTGCGAACGATGGAGAATAGAATGAAAACCCAAACAACAGATTTTCAACGGAACCATAAATCAAACCTGATATGTATTCTATGTGTACAATTTTATGAAATAATAAATGTGAGAATTAAACAACATTCAAACAACATTGCGAATGAATTTCAAGGTTCAAACTGTTCATTTGATGATTAAACTGTTTTCCAAAGCATAGTTTTTCATACTATTCCAGGAAAGAATGATTTCACTAACTAAATGATAGAAAAAATACACAAAATTGAATTTTTTCGATAACTGAAAACAAAAAAAAAATCGTCCCATTTCCCAAAACGGTTATTGATATAGACGAAATGGAAAAACAAAAACAAACAAACCAAATGTAAAAAAAATACGGCTACTAGCATATATGATCCGATCATTAAATAGTATGGCTATTGAATGTACATTCAACACCACCTGGGTAAAGTCCAAATCCAATTTTGAATTCATTATCTTTTTTCTATAATATAGAGAAATTTATGGATAAATGAATTGAAAACGAATCATCATACAACGTTTAGTCGATTATCATCATTGGATCATCATTTTATGGGCCAAAAAAAAAATATTAATTCCATCTGTGCAAGATTTATTTTGTTGTTGTTATTGTTCAATTTGTGAAAGCTTTGTATAACAAAAAACGAGAAATAGAGAGAGAGAGAGAGAGAGAGAGAGAGAGAGAGAATTAAAAGCGAAATCGGATGATGAGTCACACATCTTTCATAGAAATTGAAAATTTCAGAAAAAAAATTTTTTTTTGTACCAAAATCATCTTTATAGATGGAACCATTTTGGTTCGATAGAGAAACATGATCGAATAAAAATGACGAATGACTGTGTGTGTTACGACAATTTGGAATTTATGTTGTTTTTTTTGTTAGCAACCGGAATTCACCAATAAATCATCATCAACAATTAACATTGTTGTCAATAGAAAAAATTTAAATACTTTTTCCGAAAAAGTGGGCAATAAAAATTCGTTTAGAAAGTCTTTGAACCACAAAAACTCACAGCAAAACAATCAATTCTTATTGTAAATAAATGATGCTGATTATTCTAATTCTCACAAAACAGCGAAAACAATCATTTCATTCAGCAAAAAAAAAAACAAAAAGTTAATGAGCCTTAAAAACAATCCAATGTTTTTTTCCAAATGTTTAATTGACATAATCAAGAAGAAATTTATAAACTTTAAAAAATAAGTATCCTTGCGAAAAAATGAGAAATTCTGAAATGTATCAGGAACACACACAACAAAAAGTCAAAAAGTCAAAAAAAAATTTTCAACAAAAAACTATGCCATCATCATTCACGAAAATTTGTTTTTGATGTCAAGAGTTTTGCTCTTTTTTTTTCTCGTTTATGATATCTCTATTTTTGGCCGATCAAATAATCGTGATAAACACTATACCGTCGACAACAATAATGATGATGACAATGTTGCAATCATTCATACGCAAGTTATCCGAACAACAACAATAATAACCACAAAAAAACGGGACCCGAATGACAACCATTCGGATGGACTGGTCTAAATCGAATAGATAATAGAGAATCTGAGAAATGGAAATTTTCACTATTTTTATTTTATACTATTGTTATCAACGACATGTCAACATTTTTTAAATATCAAAAAATAATGGAAATAACATTGACAAAACATGAATGTGTGTGACACATCTATGTGGAATGTACCGTATTATCTCTTGAATATCGGGATCTACTCTATATCGAATCAACTTGATAACAATCAATCCAGTAGATTCATGATTGTTATAAAATTATTATTATTATCGACAAAATAAAATTGAAATAGGATGCTGATTCCTACCAAACGTTCCGTTCATTACATGAAAATAATAAAGAATATCATCATCATCATCATCATAACATCTGTCATGTCATATCATTATTTTGATGATTGTCAATCTAACAAACAAAAAAATCATGATGATGATGATGACAATCATCTTCAATATCCATCTGTATCTTTTTTTCTCTTTCCATATCATTCATTCATAGCCATCATCAATTGAACCATTTCCCATTTGGAAATGTTCTCGTTTTTTTTTCGTTTGATACTTTCAATAAAGATTGTAATATCATCATCACTACATAGAAAGAATAAAATGAAATGAAAATCATTACTTGTTGACATCAATAATGATGATGGTCATTATGATGATGATCATCATGATCATTATTATAACCAAAATGTGCATATAATAGAAAAAACAATAAAAAAAACAACAACCCTGGATTGGATTGAATTTCTGTTGGTTTGTTTATTTAGATGTAATGAAATGTTTTTAGTTATGACTCATACAATGATGTTGATATTTTCATGATGAATCTCACAATCTGAATGAATTGGCCATTAAACATCACAATTCATTTGCAGTAGTAGCAATAGTAGTGAAGATGCATTGAAAATGATCATTCCATTGATAATGATCGTTTTTTAGTTATTTGTTTGTTTGTTTTCCAGAATGAAACAAGTGAAAAAAAAATCAAAATCATTGGCTTTGGATGAGACTTTTTTTTATGAACAAGCAACTTTCAATATGGAAAACGACAAATATAAACGGGCATTCGTTGTTCATAGACAAAAGCAATTGTAATCTGTCTATTTTTTTTTCACCAAAAACTATGATGAAATTAATCGGCTTAAGTGTAGCTGTTTTTCTTTCCCTCTCGCTCTCTCTCTCTCTCTCTCTTTATTGTTTGGATGACATTCGAAAACTATTTGATTCGTTTGTTTCGTTGAATGAATTGAATTGCTCTGAAAGTTTACTTCTGGAACAAATGGAGAGTTTGGTTGAACGCTTTCATTTTTTTTTGTTTTTGTTAAATCTGAAATTGATCTATTGAGCTAGCAATGTTGTTGTAGACTGAGTTTAGAATGGCTTTTTAGGGTAGTAATGTTTGAAATTGCGATTCTCAAAATGGCCATATATAATAATATATAAAGTTAATGAATTGAATGTTAATGATGATTATTATGATATTTTTTTCCATTGAAAATCATCAGAATCAAATAAGGGAAAGAATTTTCACATCAATTCACAAGGTTAGTCACAACTTTATAGCTTTAGAAAACATTGTTGAACTAAAAATGTTTGTGTTTGTGTTTGTGATCTGCACAAAGGTCCAAGACCAACGTTAGACACGTGTTTGCTTCAAAACATACAATACACTTATACGCATAAACAATTGATGTGAAGATCGTAAATAAAAATTTAATTGGATCGAAAAATAATTCCATTCAGATGATGACGATCAACGTAAATCATGAATTCGTAGAACTGAAACGTCAAACGGGAATGTATGATAATAAAATTCTTATAACAGGATCCATTCTGTTTTTTGTTTTTATTTTTTGTCTACCTCAGTATGTCGACAACCAATTTACATAATTAACATGTTTTTCGATATCATAAAAACCTTGTTTTTGCTATTAAATTTAATATTCAAAAAAATCGGTTGAATGAACCGAAATAGGGTATAAAGAAGAAAAAACAGTTATCAAAAAAAACTGTACTGAAAAAATAGGATGAATCCAATTTTCGACAATCGTAATTTCATTGCATGCTATCCACAAATCAAATCTAAATATATAAAAAAAAATCGAAATAATCAATTTGACATATCTATCCTTTCTCTATACATTCTTGGTAGCTATTATAAGCAAATGGTCAATACAAACAGCCGGTTAGTAACAGCTACTGTACAGAAATAAAATTGCCGACCAAAACAAGGACTGCCATGGAACAATTGAACAATGTCGCATCCATAAACGAAACTATCGAACCATAGAATGCTGCATTACTCATCATCATCAACTACATAACTGCTACTACCAATAATCAAGGCCGATGACATTCAACAACAATAGTTGTTAATTTCTGCCAGAGACAGACATCCATACATACACCCGCCGAATTGACAGCATGGAACAATGTTCCATCAATCCAGATTTACAATAATAGGGTTTCAAATGTAATGAATGAATGAAATGAATAGAAAAAAAAGACATGGTTAAAATGAATTCGTTCCAAGATATATATATTTTTTTCTCATTCAAATAAATACAATAAATGAAATTAAAGTTGAAATTGAATTTGAATAAAAACTTTGAATGATGACAACAATGATGATGATGATAACGATCCACTTATGATGTGAACTTTAGAACTATTGGAACAATTCAATTCAGATTTGACAGTCATACATGAATGAGATAAAAACCGATTTATGAATAGTGAATGGAAAGAGAATTGAAAAAAAATTGGATCAATCCTAGATTAAAATGATATGAGCAATGTAAATAAAAAAAAGGTAAAATATAATGCGAATTTATCTCAAACTAATAAAAAGTTGATTAGTTGTCATATTAAAATAAATATTGATCTTTTATTTGATCACTGAAAAACATATTGCAGAATATACAAGAATGATATAAAATTTTTAATACACACATGATAATAAATAGAGCAAAGCAAAATTGCCATGTTAGACAAATCGGATATAAAAAGTCAACAGATTTCTAAATCAACAACAACATATAATAATCACACATCAGAAACACATTTCAAAGGCCTCATATGATATGAATAAATTCTAAATATCAATAAAAAATCATATCGAAAGAAAAAAATGCTTTTGCTTTACTTTCATAAATGAAGCCTCATTTATATAATAAAGAAAATGAAAGAAAACATTCATAAAAAAACTTACCTGATGTAATGATGAAACAAATATTGGCCAAAATGATTAAACCAAAAAGGCAATAAATATGATACATTATGTTATTTATTTGACGCATAAATGATGAGCGATGTTGCCAATGATGAAAGTTGTTGTATTGTGAATTATAATCTTTTTGCTGGCTATTTTTGTGATGGTGATGATGGTGATCATCTTGATCATAGCTTTTAAAGCCACCACCATAAATTGATGATGATAAAGTTGTTGTCGATTTCATTTTTTTTTTTTTTGATTGATTGGTCGATCAAAATCGATTGTTTTACGAATCAAAAGTAGGAAAAAAACGGTATTGTCGAACGTTGATGTGATTGATAAGAAGAGGAAAAAGGTATTTTAAGATAAAAATAGATTGATGGCAATGATGCTAAAAAAGAAATGCGAGAAAACACATAAAATACCATCTAAACACAACAATGACAAATTGGAAGCTGAAAGAAAAAAGAAATTGAAAAAAAAGAATTAAAACATTAATCAATCTTTTTTCCTTCGGATAATTAAATTGAATCCATGATACATAAAACACATTCATCAAAAAGGATGATGAGGATAAATGAATGAAGACAAAATATGTCACAATGTCTTTTCATTTGGTTTTTAATTATAAAACTATACCGGAACAACGTAATGTAGTGTGTGAGTGTTAACTAAACACCGGATTGAATTCATTCATTGTTAATTCTATTTTTTCAGGTTACTCGGATGATACCATACATCAAAACCGAAAAATCAATAATCGAAGATCTGAAATTATCTATGATGGACTAGAAATGAGAAAATTTCCATTTAAAGAAAATAAATGGAAAACAGCAAAAAACCGGTCGGTTATTCATCTTTGATGACACTTGCATGACTTAATTTACCATTATCATCATCATCATCATCATCATCATCATCATCCTCACAACTTTCCATTTTCATTTCAGTTATTTTAGTCACTGATTAAAACCTAGAAAAAAAACTGATTGCTGATTACCTGTCAAAATGTAGTTTCTAATTATTCTTTATATTGAAGTCCAAATAAGAAAAAAATGTTTATTTTTGGCTATATCTCACTACTACTACTACACATAATAATGATAAGCAAAAATTGTTTATATCAACAACAAAAAGAGTGCATATCATCTGTCATTCACTATATATATTTTTTTTGTGATTGGTCAAAAGAGAAAACAAAAACAAATTAATGAATCATTATTCATTCATTTATTGGTTATTGATTGATTGATTGATACAAATCATATATATTCAAATCATTCATATGTATGTGAATCAGAGCATGAAAAAACAAAAACAAAACTGTTAATAATTGTTATATAATCATCATCATCATTGTTTATAGGTTAATTATAATGATGATCAATATGAGAAACGAAATCGAAAATTGAATCTTCGATCATCAGGGAAAACAAAATTGGAAAAAAAAATTTCAAGATCTTGTGCATCATCCTCAATAGGATTGCTCGGTTTTGTTTGATTTCACAACAGATTTTAGGGCATTTAGAATTAAATAAATAAATTTCCCATGCAAATCTATAGGGGACCAACTTACTTGTTTTTTTACCTTGCAAATTTTTTATTTTTCTCCAGTAATTTCTTCTCAATCTTTGTATTTTTTTCGGTATGTCATTCGCTACAACATAGACATGGCTGTTGTACACTTTTAGAGTAGAAAAAAAACTAAAAACAAAATGGCAGAACTATCTTTATTTCTATCTGTCCATGTCCTATGTGTATATATTGTTTATGTATACTGGAATTAAGTCACCTGGCAATGATGGCCACGATGCTGTTTGTGTGTCTAGTAGCAATGGTCTGTTTAAATTTTCTACCTGAAACCTGTCGGTTTTTTCAATTGTTTGACTCTATAGTGATAGTCCACCAAACAACACAACACAACACAGCACAACACAAGCAAGCCAACCAACCAACCAACCATAACCAGGGGTAATTTCGAAGGAAATTTTTTTTTTTCATTTTGAAATTTACAATTCAAGGTGGGTATGTATGGTCGTTGTTTATGATGGTGGTAATTTTGGTGTCGGTTGTATTTGTATAATAAGGTCCACACATAGCAATTCAGTATGACAATTTTGAATTTGATTTGCAAAAAAAAAAGAAAAAAATAATTTTTCCATTGTCCTGTGGACTTTGTGGATCAATCAATTGTTACGTTGGAATTTAAGATTTTCTATTTTCTTTTTGCTTGTCCATACAATTGTTATTCAGATTTGACAAAAATGTTTTTCTTAAAAAGAACTAATATTGGAATATTCACAAAGGCAGGAAGGAAGAGTCAAAAAACGATATTTTCTTTGACAATAAAAGTTATGAACTAAATCTATGGTCCATTGAATAAACAACCGAACGAAAAAAAAATCATAAAATTGTACCATATTGCAATGGTCAAATGCGTGGCAAAATGGCAAACTTAAAGTTGTAAAAAATAAAAATATTCAATTTCTGTTTCAAGCCGAATTGTTTGTTGCATGTACCTTTTAGAAACAAAAAAAAAGTATGATAAAACCTTTCACACATAGAATATTCTATTCTCCAGGGGAGATTCCTGTATTAATAATGAGATTTTAATGTAAATTTTTTTTTTCATTAGCAATCAAAAGGATATCCGAAAATTAATGCGCGGTTGATACACAAACCAGCATATGACTTGAGAAATCATTTTGAATGAATGGCTTTTTGCTCATGAAATCGACGGTTTATACAGCACCCAATATATTTTCTACTGATAAAAACATGAATGTTTCTGGAATAACAAACTAAGTTGGAAAAGAGGATCCATGTTTTTTCTGGAAATTTGAAATGGACAGGCGCAAATCGAAAAAAAATTTCGAAGACCAAAGAAATGAAAGGGAAACGCCAAACACAAACAACAACAATGATGATGATGATAATGACAAGAATAATGGCAAGATAATAAAATAGTAGTGACTAGAGAAAATGGGACTAGCGGACACGAATAGCAAAGAGAAATGTGAAAAAAACACCAGATCCGTTCGAAAAGGAAATAACAACATAAAAAGAAGGGACGGAGAACTACTCTGACGAAAATTCTTGACATGCATGCAAAATATATGAATTTTCTGGTCATGACATGTATTTACAGACTAACCAACCAGACTATCTTTTTCATATACGCCCAACATTTCACAAGATATCATAAAAAAAACCAAAATTTGGAACAAACTTACATTTGTGTTTTTTTTCGACGGGTGGATCGGGTAAATATAATTCGCAATAAAAATAAACACAGACACAGTTGGGAAAAAATTTGAAAAACCAAAATAAATTAAAGATGGATGTGTTGAAATAATTTTCTATTTTAAACACTTACACACACAAATACACGACATTAGAGACACTATTTCACAATCAATAATGAATCATAATTACAAAAAAAACATTGATTCCAAATGAAGAATTTTGAAAGATTTTTTTTTCACTTTTTGACACACTCGTACAGATAGCGAAGAAGCGGTACACAATAATTAAATAATAAGAGATCTTCTAGCGATGGAACGATTCTTTTTTCTGTATTTGTTTAAATATTGATCAAAGTTTTTTTCGAAATTTGAAGAATTTTTTTTTGTCGAAATTCCAATTCCAAAATAGAACGTTTTCAAATTGAAATGATTATACAACTATGAGATGAGAATGATCATCGATGATTAAATCGTAATGAAATATAATAGAGAGAAATAGAATTGAATGAATGAATGAATGAATGAAAAGACATTCGTAATGGGAAAAAAAGCTAGTAGCATGTAAATCTGTTACTATTGAAAATTGGCCATCCCTTTTTTACGTTTTTACGTTTTCATTTGAACGTCTTCGATAGATATCACTGCTTTGATTCAGGTTTTTTTTTACAACCACCAACTTTTGAATTTGCTTCGCCTCCATTCATTGTCTCTCTGCATCTGTATTTATTTGTATACAACTGCATGATATATATAGAGAGGGTAGCAGCATGATTCGATGTTGAAAATAAACCGTGTCTTCAATTTTAAGTTCAAATTGCAATTAAATGTGGCACCCACTAGCGGTGTTGATTGGAAATACGATGAAGTGAAATTCGATTTGCGTCATTAATTCATGAATGAATGAAAATGGTTAATTTATTTTATTGAAAACAATCGATCGATCAATCGATCATAAATGATACAATTTAAAATAGTTTTTCGATTTTGATTATTCAAATCAACATATTCGTATCAATCGAAAAACATTTTCGAATCATCAATTTGTTTATTTTATTTGGAATTTGATTTCAGATCATTTCGTCAATTGATGATTGATTGATGAATTGATTAATGTTAGAAATCGAATACAAATAACGACTAACAAAACAAAAACAGGTATTGTGATGTTATCATTATTTTGTCCTTGATTTTAATAAATTCACTTTTCACTCAATTCTTTTTCATGGAATCTTAAAATAAATTCCATTTCAATTTCATTATGAATTGTTTCGATTCTAACATTAATTTCATTTTATTTTTGTCATTTTAGTTAAGCTTTAAGCTTTTCCGGTTAAAACGTTACCCAGATTTCAATCGATTGAATCATCCTGATGATTCATTGGAAATCCATCAACTAAAAAACGTTATGGTCATTCAGAAAAACAGAAAAAAATCAACAAGAAGAAAACAACAAATCTCAAAAAATAAATTGATTCATCATATATCTTTGACATTGAAAAATGTGTGTGCATGGCAAGTTTTTTTAGCAACAAGTTTTCTTCACATCATTATCATCATCATAATCAATTCAAGCCCTTCAATTTCAATTTGATTTGGAAAAAAATAAATTTAAGTAGTCATTCAATCGGTCAGTAGTAACGGTGACTGATCAACATCAAAATTTTAGTAGTATACCTTGAAACATTTATATGCCATTAAAATGATTCAATTCGATTTACAATATAAACGATGAATAAAAGGATTGCAATGATAATAATAATGCAATTGGTTTCGGAAACAGACATTCTTTTCATTCTTCATTAAACAAACTTCTTTTCTCTGATTGAATAAATGAAAGAATATATGGTAATGTCGATTACGATGATCATCATATAAATGAAGATGTTGATGATGATGATGATGATGATACCGGTTAACCTTGAAAAAAGCCAAGAGGGAGCCGTCGCCACACTTCTACACTTCATCTAACAATGGCTATAAATATTCTATACTAAGTATTAGAAATGAAGTAAAAGAAACACCCTGCCATTATTTCTTTTATTAGTGTACTACGTCGATGAAATTGTCAAATTTAGTCTTTTTGGATTTAATTTTTTCAATTCAATCAGATATATTATAAACAATGATGTGTGTGTGTGTGTGTTTAGGTTAGGTGTGAATCAGCCATTTTATCATCTTTGTCATTGTATAATTCATTCATCAGATCAGACAAGGAAATCTAATTTGAATAAGAAAACTTTTTTGATAAATAATTCCAATCTCTGGTCGTAGATAATTTTTCCAGCATGTGCTGCAATCTAGTAATTACATTCGATAGCTTCTGTCAAGTTTTTTTACAGCTAGATGGCAGAGTTTTATTTTAGTGTTTATGTTTTTTTTTTTTGTAAATGCAATTATTAACGAATTTATATTCGAAATGGAAAACAACAAAAAAAAGGATAAGATTATGCTGAATAGATTCCTTATCGAGTAAGGATAATTTTTCGTACTTCAGGATTATTGTATGAGCCTAAATACAGTAAACGTTCATCTGGATTAGTGGATGGGATTTCACGTATTTCGGTCATTTGTGTACATTTGTCATCGATAAAACTATTGAGGAATTGACCATTCTGATCAATTTCAAGCATCAAGCAGCCTGGTTTGGCCACAATAGTAAGTATTCTGAGTGTTTTAAAAAGGTTGGCTAAATGCTCAAACACTTCGAGCGGTATGATTTGATTGAAAAATTCTAATGTTGCACCAAGCAAATAAACCGATCTCACAATGAACCGTCTAATCGATGGATATTTCATCAAAATATCCGACAAATCTGGATTGGCTTCGCTTCGAGGTTTTAACATGGCCAGCCAAAACGTTTGACCATTCGCACTTAGACGAAGATTGTCCGTCTCGGATGCCATATGGCTGATAATTTTGGTCATTCGAGGTTTTTCATTGCTTTCAAATGTACATTTCCAAATGGAACGCGAACCAATGTCCGAGAAGAGGAAACCATAGTTATTGTTGGGAAGAATTTCGATACCATTTGGAAATATTAGACCATCAGCAAGGACATCCAGCTTACCGGTATCAGTATCGTAACGTAAAATTCTTCCCGTTCTGTCCGGTTCTAGAACGCTTTTGACAAATTCTTCAAGAGCATATTTAGTGCTTACATCTGTAATGTAAAGAATATGGCCGCCGGTTGATTTCTCCTGGACGGCAATATCGTCTAAGAAGCGACTTGTAGCACCAAGTTGACCTGTCTGATCGATATCAAACACATGATCGATAATTGGCGATGACGTAAAAACATTTGCAACACGGTAAACACCAAAATAAGGTTCCACTATCCATAAATTACTTTTGGAATCAAATTTCATTCCTAATGGCCGTGAAATTCGTGTACCATTACTTGCGGCCAATTGCTTTTCATTGACCAAACTAAACAAACGTTTAGCCGTAGTTGGATCGTTCAGATTGAATTCATAGAGAAAACCATCCATGGCACCTGTCACCATTCGACCATTTTGATAACCAATCGATTCAGGACCAGGAATAGAAGCCACTATCGATAAATATTTCATACGTAACGTTGGTTTATAATCATCAAGCGTTGGCGGTAACGGAACATTCATAGCTTCGGTATTCATATCAAACATTATGGATTCAGGTACGAACATTATGAATGCTACAAATAACGTTACTATCACAATTAATTTGAATAATAAGCTTGCCAAATATCTGACTACCATGATGGATCTGGATTTGTTGATGATAAAAGTTTTTCATCGGATTAGCATAAAGTTATTATTAATCAATATTCATTACCAATTCACCTGTGTGTGTGTGTTGAAATTAATTGACACGTCCTTGTGATTTAAACTTCAATATTGTTGGCCGTATTTTATATTTACTTTTGATGATGATGATGACAAATTTGTCCCTTTCGTTTTCGGAACCACAAACGAATGAATTCAAATAGATTATGTCAGTGAATTCGAAAATCAACCAAACGCTGTCACATTTTAATCAAAAAAAAAAGAAAGAAAACGTTTTGTTGAAGGTTCCTTTTTTGCACATCATATCGACCGAAATGTGTTACTTTTAGATACGACCAAATCGATTCACTCATCAAAAACGTCTTATAATTTTCTTTTTCGTCTTCATCGTTGGTTGCTAGGCTTCATTTACATTTATTACGTTGATAGTATGATAATTGAATCTATCATTTTTATTTTTTTTTTTTTTTTGGGTACTCGCCAATCATATACATCACTAAATGAATGATGACGAATGGTGGCGAATGGCTGTTGTTCAGCTAATGATTACAATGTTTACAATATATATATTATATTATTATTATCATCAACCAATTTGAAACGACAAATAACATCCACATATAGGATACATTGGATAGGATAATGATTATTTTCACTATAGTAAAAGGCACAACCAAATAGGTTTCCAAATAACGATATATGTATGTTGTATTGTCGACTTTGATAAAACATAAAAGCTATGAAATAAAATTTATCAGGATATAAAGCCATTGTAAGTGAATGAAAAATTTTGTTCAAAATACACACACACACACACACACACACACACGATACATACGTACATTAACGATTCGATTATCAATGTGAACAAAATTAATGTATACCACATTTGTCTCGTGTTTCAATTTTCCAGAAATTTATTATTATTATTTTTTTTGTCTTGTTCATTCGTCGTCGTTGTCTTTTTTTTTTTTTTTTTTTTTTGGAAAACGTATATTTTTATTCGGTTTCTAGATGTGTGTGTGGGTGTGTGTTCTTTCCTAATTGTAATCGATTTTAATCAAAACTTTTATAAAGATTTAAAGTTTGATAATAGTTTTTTGTGGTTGGTTTTTTTTCTAATCATGATGAATCTATCCGGATCGAGATAAAGTTTTCTTTTTTTTCTGATACTTTTTCTTAGATGATAACATTCAGACTGAGATAGCTTAATATTAGAGCAATTGTCTCCATATTATGACGATAATGGTAGCGGTAGCATCAGACAATGTAGACATTGATGTTTACCATATATCCAACAACATAAAAACAATCGAAATATTGAAATTAATTGTTTTGTATAAATCAGATTCAATCGAATTCGAATGGAAAACATTCATTTATCTTGATCGATCGATCGATTCATGAATCATGATGATGATTTTGATTCAAAAACATCGTGTCGATCGATTGTTCATTATCGTTTGCTGTTAATTCAATTTGTTTTCGATTATCCCGTCATCATCATCATCATCAACAATAACAACAACATGAGATTGATTCCAATCGATGCAAAATTCTCTTAAATCTGAACAATAAACAATCGAAACATCAATGATGTTGAATCGTAGAAATAATGGCTATGAATAGGTCATTCATATCGATTGATTGATGGTCAGTTTGTTATTGGCTCAATATACGCCAACAATGTGTGTCAGTAGTCACTCATTTCTTCATAGAATTCTGGCTAATTGTCGTTCAAGTATAATTCCTTATTATAGTGGCACAGCTTTACTATCCATATGTTTATGTTCCATTAAAGGCCATAATAATAATCATCTTGTCCATATGTGCCATCAACATCCATTTTTTTTTTTGTTGCCAGCCAACTGAATACATGGCTTTCCCTGCCTTCATTCATTTGACCAGTTGATTTAAAATGAATGACATTCATGATGACATTGATTCGATAATTGGATCTTTTGCTCTTTTGAACAACAAAAACAACAACACTATTTTATATCCATACTAAACAAAGTTGGTGGATACTACTAATTGTTAAGCTGAAATTTGGTTTCATTTTCTTTTTTCAAAAGTTTACCATTGTCATCGTTGGAAGGAAGAGAGAGAGAGTTGAAACAAATAACCAGAAAAAAGTGAACGTGTCATCATGTGTCATTATACATTGTATGTTTATGTTTGGATTTTTTTGAAAACAGAATTTCAAATATGTTACAACTTTCAAATACACGATGTAGGAGTTTGTTACAAGTTTTTCTTTTCTTAGTTTGGTTCATTATCAAACTAAAAACAATAACAACAACAACAACTACGACAACAATACGGCCAAATGCAAACAAAGAAGAATATACAGAATTCAAATAATAGATAGATATTTGCCAAAGAGAATAAACCAATGCCTTGAAGGCATTCTAACTTTCATTTTTATTTTTTTTCTAGGATTCTCACACAATGTTCAGATAATGTCTTTTTTTTTTTTGTTTGCTTTTGTTGTGTATTTGGTGTGTGTTCAAAGACAAAATTCATTTGATGTGATACTAGAACTCATCTCATGATGATCATACATTTATGAAACTATGAAGAAAGATAGGGTGTGTGTGTGTAGGAGGTGGGGGTAGTTAGTCATTATACAGTTATATTGTGAAAATAGTCAAGACAATTACGAGTTGAAAAAAAAGCAGAAAAAAGAAAGAAAAATGAAAGTCTTTTTTTTTTTTTTTCGTTTTGTTTGATGCTACAAGTTTATACATCAATGTATGTGTATCATTATCTATTTATCTATATATATATCTATCCATCTGTTTTAAGTTTACAAATACAAAAAGCTAAAAGTTTTATTTTCTCTCTCTAACTCTCTGAATTCTTTTGATTTTGATGCTGATCATTTCTTAAATGCGATAATGTCGAAAAAGATATTGGGATAAGAAACAAGTAGAAAAAAAATGGTTCATATAGAATTTGATGTTGATGTTGATGGTGATTATTATTGTTATTATTATCATTTATCTCCAGAGACTATTCTCAATTTTTTTGTTACTCAACAAATGAACATGGATATATCAAACACACACACACACGGAAATCAACTAAAGCCGCCATCGTCATCATCATCATCATCATCATGACTGGCTTAATGAGAGTATGTATGGCCAACATCTGAAGACATTTTTGTCCCCCCCATCACCCACAGAAACCAATTCATAAAAATAAAGCTTTTTTTGACGATGATGATGATGATGAGTGAACAACAACGACCATGGTGATAAGTGAACATCGAATTTTTATATGCTCCATATAATTTAACAATTTTAAAATGGATATATATCTTCACACACCCATTCCATATTCAATGGACAAAAAAAAACATTTTATTCGATTCTTTGCCCATTCATTTATTCATTATATTATCCAATTGTCATTGGTTAGTTGAATCTGAAAAATGTTTCTTATTTTTGATACATTAAGGACATCGAAAGCAAGAATTTTTATAACAAAATTCAATCAATGAATGTGTGTGTGTGTGTGTGTATCATTTTGTTGAGATCTACATGATTTTAGCTGGATAATTTCTCATGATTGAATGTTTGGTATGTGGCAACAACATAAAAAAACTTTAGCTATTTGTATCATTCGAGTTTTTTTTTCGTTAAATGATTAAAATTACTAGAACGATTAATCATTGAGATTTGGATAATGGAATAAAATCAACATATCAAATGAAAAGCGGGAAAAAAATGATTCTGTATTGTGATGAAATCAATATATCGATATGACTATCAATCGATTTTTCGTTGTCATCATCATCATTGAATATATATATATATATATGGTAATGATGAAATGAACCTAAATGAATCTATCCATTTGGATCAATGGTAAGCTAAAATATGAATATTGATATGGTTGGAAAGCCAAATCAGAAAAAAATACATATTCATCATGAGAAAAAGAGCGAGAGAGAATGAATGAGATGGTATGAGTTTGCAATCTGATCCCAAAAACAAACGAAAGGCTTAGATTCTATTTGGATAATATGCAAATATTATATCACCACAAACAATGACAAAATATTTTTCAATAAATTAATCATTTAGGTTCGTTTTCAATGTGCAATGGATTTTTTTTCATTACAAAATCATCGTAGCAAAATCCATAGTTTCTTTTTCAAGCCATCTGACTGGGTGTGTGTGTGTGTGTGTGTGTGTATTCAGTTTGGCAACAACAAATCTGATAGATCATTTTTTCTGGCTTCTTATGGAATATTTTCAGATATCTACATGAATTGATTGAATTTTGCTTTCATCAAATTTAATCTTATTTTCAATTTTCAATATATATAAAAAAATGTTCCACATTTTCAAACTAATGAACAAAGAATTTTTTTCTTTGGGCTGCTGCTGCTGCTGCTGTTATTGTTATCGGAAAAATCCTCTTAATTTAATAATAGAATATATTTTACATTTTAAAACTGTTAATTGAAAAAAAATTTAAATAATAAATTCACCCGCTGATTACTCGTGATTCGGCAAATAACTGTTTTTATCAAACAAACAAGCAAACCAGCCAGAATAAATAAATAAAAAATGCAACCGATCAAATTCATTCGTTTGAAATGATTAGTTCAATATTGTTTTTTCCTGTGCTCATCAAATTTGTCGAAAGGAAAAAAAATTTCAAATAATAAATCCGAATCTTAACAAGCTTCTTCATCTAATTTTCTTCTTTTTTTTTTGCTGATACAAATGCAAGTTTTGGCTATTTATTCCGCTCATATACCAGTGATTTGATTAATTTGATACATAACAAAATCATTGACATATCATTCATGTTAATCGTATAAATAACTAACTAACTAACTAACTAACTGATACAACATGTGACTATGAAACTGTCAAGTTATAGCCCTTTTCCCATACACCCGCACCCAAAAATGTGGCCCAATAAATAGTTGATCAAAAACAAAAAACGATCTACCAACCATTGTCAGATTCTATCCAATTGCATTAATTGTATGCACTCGAATTTTTTTCCGGTTCCATGATGATGATGATGATGGTGGTGGACAAAAACTTTAATTAAACCCTATTTCTCATTCAAGTTAAATTTTGTTACTCAAAAAAAAGAATATAAAAAAATCAATTTTCAGTATACGAATCCCAAATTTTACCATACACACACACATGGTGAATGGTCATTGCCGGATTGGGATGTATTTGTAATGATTGTGAAAAAAAGTAATAAGTAATTAGCAATGGAATCCGAATGATCAACATATAATGAATGAAAACTGCAGCCACAGAATGTCTTTTCAACGATTGCCTTCGATACAAAAGTTATGTCTGTCAGTGTGTGTGTGTGTGTGTATGTTTATGTTTGTTCAA